ACCAGTTACACGTTATTTTGCGTGTAGTTGCCGTTTGCGTGTAGTGCAGCATTTGTGTTAGTCGATGCGGATTTCTTGATAGCTTTATTTTGTGTTTTTATTATGGTACGTTATTCAATATTGGCGTTGTGTTTGGCATATATATATATATATTTGGTATATATATATATATATATATATATATATATATATATATATATATATATATATATATATATATATATATATATATATATATATATATATATATATATATATATATATATATATATATAGCTAATTCAATAAAGGTTGTCCTTTGCAAACCTTAAACTCTAAACCTTAAACCTTAAACTCTAAGCGCGCAAAGCATAATGGGAGTACTGATTTCAAGCTTTGTAGTTGAATATTGCAGTTGTTTGTGAGTGAAATGTTTTCGCAGGCACATATTTACCATGTCTCTAAGAAATGGGCTCCATGTATGCTTTCTAAACTGCTTAAATAGTGCTCCCATTACGCTTTGCGCGCTTAGAGTTTAAGGTTTAAGGTTTTAGAGTTTAAGAGTGAATGTCAGTAAAAATCGAACATATGAGATATTTCGCGGCCACGACTGAAAAATCGATTTTGCTCAAATTTTGCCCAGATATACCTTATTATATCGGAAAATGCACCATATATTTTTTTAGGCCAAATGCTTTTTTAACTTTGAGAAAATGCCGTTTTAACACGACCACCCTAAATCGCCATTTTGTCTGGGAAAATATGCGCTGATTTTACCGACAAATTTCACGACGACAACCGTTTATAATCGATCTAAAACCCTAAAAATCTTGTTTTCGGTTATTCAAAGGACCAGGTACGTGACTTACAAGAAATCTGAGTTACTTTTAGGAATAGAAATAATCGTAGTTTTGGAGCACACTATCTTACTTCACTTACGATACCCTCTTAACAAAACCGATTTTCACTATGGGAAGGCCTGCTCTGGGACCTTAACTCGCCGCGAGATAAGGCGAGCCTATGCGAGTTAAGGCGAGATAGGGCGAGTTAAGGAAAAATCTGGCTACTGACCCTTGCGAATTAAGGCGAGATAAGGCGAGTTAAGGAAAAATCTGGATATTGTATACACACTATGTTTTTGCTTTGTTTGTGCATTATGCAAAGCAAGTATGCAGTACTTGAAGTAGCAGGCCTAGAAAAGTGTTTTATTCTATATTCTACAATACATACATGATATGCACAATAACTCGTGACCTGGAAACAAGTTGCATCAAAACAAGGCTGGTAGCCAGATGCCAAATTGTATAATTTGAGGCATTATGCATAGTGTGTATAGAACTGCATTGTTTCCTAAATCTTCACAGTATCAGTTGCTAACTTGCTATGACTAGCTT